GTGCAGCCCTTGTCTACAAGGACATAAATCAGACAGGGTCTCCCAAGCCTCAGATTAGTGACTTTAATGGACATATTATCCAAAACCATGTGGCATTCATTTCATGACATGGTAGTAAGTGCATGAGGAGCCTCCTAAGTGCAGTGTGACAGAAATTCCTTAGGGTTTTTGTTTAACAGCCTATTTTGATTTTAGTTAAAATGTCTAGAAATTTTGATCCATTGATTTTATAGAAGAGCTGGTAATACGTACATTTGAAATTTCCATAGGTCTTTCTTTTTAATGTGAGGAATCATTAGCTAATAAATTCTTACTAAAGGAGATGATGAAGTCTCTTTTCAAATCATAAGACTGCTTAAAGACTAATTCAGATGCCAATGACTTTGAAAATGATTATAGGTAATCAGGAATTCTGGAAACTTTGACAGGAGCTATCAGAATATGACACTAAAAGTTGTACATTGTGAGGAAATTTATAGTGTTATTGAGGTTTATATAAAAAGCTGCTAGATTAAGCTAGCAATGAAATACAGTAAAGAAAAGAATACTGAACCAAGGGACAGAAGAGTCAAATTCATAGATTGTAGTCCTAAATCCAACACTCAATTATTCACTTTCTGACTTAAATTCCCTTTGTGAAAATATGGGTTTTTGATTACATAATATTTAGTCCTTGTTTCTATCCTAAAATTCCGCTACTATCTAAATTTATGTAATGCATAGTGAAATGAACAATAGATGTGCAGTTTTGAGTGTTCTTCTTTAAGGTATTCTGCCAATTACCAGAGCCTTGGTACAGGTTATGGAAAAACATTAGGCTTCAGTTTACTTGATGGGATTGAAAGGAGAATTATTGTTTGATGGTTGGGATTCTGCAAGGGAGAAAGTTGAATTATATTTTAATTGGCCTGTCAACCAATTCAATTGGAGGTGTTTAAAGTCAATGGATACCAAGAGGCACAGATGTAAGAATTTTAGCATGTTCTCCCTCTCCAGAGTCACCTCCTTAGAATTACATTAGAAGTTTGAAGTTTGGATTTTACTATAGGCAATTGACAGAATGGATGGAAGGAGGAATAAGGTGACTCATTAGGAAACATGCAGCAGTAAAAGGAACAGCAGAGAATCAGGAGGCTCAACTAATTTTCACTACTTGGTGGAAAGAGGAGGTTATTTGTTTTTTCTAGGCTTTTGGGTCCTCATCTGTCAAAAGAGTTAAGGTCATCATTATATTTGTTAGAAAGATATTATTGAAGAAAATAAAATGAGAAATAAACGTAGAGACTTTTGCATTCTTTAGAAAAGCTTTCTATATTTCCATAAGAACTATAAAATTCTTAAACCTTTAGAGAGCAGCACTTTAACCCATCCTATTCCTGTACGGGCTAAGTCAGGCTTGCACATGTAGGGAAGGGGAGTGGAGAGAGGCAATAACATGGTACCCGTAATCACCATCAGGCATGGCAGAAGGAGTCACTGTGGTGAGAAGAGAGGAAGCAGATTCAGGAACTGGCTGTTTTATTTTTTCTAATATGGATATTCCTATTTTATAATTCATATATATGTATGTGTGTGTACATACACAAGCCATTATATATATATATATGTATATATATTTATATGTGTATAATTTCTGAGAACTTCTGAATTTCATATATATATATATAATTGAAATCAATATTAATCTGAGTTATATCAAGGTAAGATTCTGACAACAAAGACAATTACAGGTATAGCATAGATGTGTTTTCAAATAAAACTGTGATGATGTGAGAGGCAGGAGAAAAAAGCACTTCTTATTATTACTATTTGACAATCATTATCATACTAGATGTGTTTATAGCTTATCTCATTATCTACTCCAAAAAATATTATGAATGATGAGGATATACCATACCTAGAACCACAGAACCACTCCAGTAAATGATGCTAGGACTGAAAGGTGAACCTAGGTTCTTCAGAGGTTGAGAGTGAGACTCTTTCAGCACTGCTGTGCTGCATTCCAAGAAGCCCACCAGTTATCTTCAGTTGCCCTTTTCCACACAACCTCCCTTTGCCTTTTTCCCAACTATCTCCAAGAAGAAGGAGATGTGTTGAGAGGGAGGTAACTGTCAATTTCAGTTAACTTCTCCCACATGCAGTTTGGTCTTTACCCTTTAATTCACCATGATGTTTATCATCACAGACAAGTGATTCACCCCTATTGCTGCTTCTTGTCATAAAGAGCAGAAAACTTTTATGACAATTAGGACATTTAGCCACTGAACTCCTATCCCCTGTGAATCATGAATTAATTAGTGCCAGACTGGATACAGATTGTCAAAATACCCACAAGAATTGCATAGATACCAAGGCTAATCAACACCTTATTTTACTTTCAGTCTATTGAACAATGAGGTTAACTACATTCCATCAAAACTTGCTAGAATGAGAAATGTACTAATTGAATGTAGCTATTGAACCTGCCATCTTGTGCTCCAAAGAATGGCGTTTTTTACCTCTTCACTATTTTCAAAAACATTTATGCTTTAATGAAACTAGCAATAGGGACACTCTCTCTGCTCCTTCCATATCAGACATAATTCACATGGTTATCTTTTAGTGCTTTGGGTACTCTACTGAAGGACTTCTCTGTTCTTATGATTATTAGCATACAGACAGAATGCTCTGTTCCTATTATACATCAGGACTATTAGGTGGGTAAATTGCTCCTGAAGTTTTGAGAACAGTGAAAAATATACTTTGCAACAGTTAAAAAATGACATTTTAAACAGAAGTACAACCCTTAGAACATATTATTCTTTTCCTTTCAATAACTAGTGCAAATCAAATAATTTGTTTTTTACCCCACATATCAAATTCTTGTGAAGTAACTGGGAATTCGAGGGAAAATCATGAACGATTATGAGGTTTCCATAAAATTAAGACTCCAAGTGAGGGATACGTATTAGAAATGGGCAAATGGAATTTCATTTGGAAGCAATTAAATGGGATTGACTTGAATTAGAAAGGATTGCCATAATGCAGATTTAGACAAAAATCTTCCCCTATCCCACCTGTCAAAACAGAATGGCAATCTGGGGTAGCCACTTCACACATTTTCACATTTGGGGTGACAGTTGATTTCAAGGACAGATGGTAGCACTTCTTTTCATGCACAAACTCAGCAGACATTCAAGCTAGAAGGGAGGCACCTGCCATCTTTTCTGCTAACATCTATTGCTAACTTCTCCATATGCTGCAGAGGAGAATTCACAGATTTTCTTCATGTGGCCCAATGGCTCTCATGCCAGATGAAGGGAGGGACATAAAGCAGCTAAAGTTGTCTCACCGCAAAGTTGATGTCATCTCAAGGAACCCCGGAAATGGATTAGAGAGCAAGCAATGAAATCATTACTGGTCTTGGGTGAAAGTAGTCATTTTGCAAGTCCATAATCAACACAAGTCAAAAATCATTTCACGAATAATAGTTCAACTACAAAAGGGTTCCATAAATAGAGAGCTTTGGGGAAACACCCAAAATTTAAATTTAAATTTATGGCACACTAGACTACTAAAATTTCTGAGAACTCCTGAATTTCCAAAAACAAAAAACCTCAAATCTATTTTTTTAAAAGCTTGTAAAATAATTTCTTAAAGCAAAGATGTCTTAAGGAATATTATACTACAAAACTCAAGTATTATTACTTATATCTACATAAACATCTCAGGTCACTTATCCAAGGAAATTTGATATTTCCTACCTTTTAATTACATAAAAATAATATCTTTTTTCAGAAAAGCTCCATAAAAAAGGGGAATTTTTTTGTTTATATATGCTTCATTATTTCTTGCATCTCTGATGCCTAGAGGAGTCTTCAAAATGTAGTAAGTCCCCTGTAGATGTTTACTGAGTAAGTTATAAGCTTTTTTATTGACATTTATTTCCAATCTCTTCTCATTCCCTTCTTCTACCCCATGGATGTGTGATAGTGTTCTTCATTCATATTGATTTGCCTGATGGTTAGTTCTTCTGACTAAAATTGATTTGAGCGTTTCTGTTGATGTAAGTCATCTAACTAAAGTCTGGCTCACAGATTGCCATGACTCTATTCTGAGTTGCCCTTACCTGATTCATGGCTTCTTCTGACCTGAATCTCTTTGTACTCTTTTTCCTGTCTCACAGTTTTGATTTCTGTCCTGAATCCCCAATGCCCTGGGAACACATAGGAGACCTTGAAAATCAGCCCCAAAATGAAGTTTATCCAGAGAAGACAGGCCTTGTGGACAGGGAGACACATCTAAAAGTTCAGAGAACCAGTTTTCTGAACAGCATGGAGTCTGGAAGCACCAATGAAGTCATATTGAAAATTGAGTTGAAGACCAGAAATCAGCCAGTGCCAATGTGTAGATTAGGGAAGGTGGTCACTGGGAAAATAAAAACGGGAAATCCACATATCCAGAAAAACCAATTGATTCCAATTCATACAAGCTTTAACTTTTACCAGTCATGCACAGAATTATCCACAGAGCAGACATAACTGAAACAGAGACATTAATGTGGAAATAACATGGCTTATGGTAGGTTTGAAAGTGTCTTAAATGCTTGCTCCTTTCCAGAACAAGAATAATCTCTTATTCAGCAAGTTTGCTGGCTTTGATGCATACATGCAGCACCTCCACACAATTAATTAGAGAAAACTGACAGTTATGGCTTTATGTTCCTTTAATTTGTTGATTTTTGTTTTCCACAGCAGGGAAAAAAAAAAACATGTAACAGATATCCAGAGAGACAGAGCAGTTTACAACTCCCACACCCACAGAGAGCCTCAGTGTGAGACATTGCCAATCACTACCACGGACAATAGCCAGCGCACAGGAGAACTCTGGACAGCTGCTAAGGGAGGGATGGGCTGGCAGGATAGAACAGAGGCTTGAAAGCTTTTCTGTCCTTCTATAATTCAGGCAAACTAGATGTCAAAACGTAATTAAGGTTCAGCCTCATTTCTGTTCCCTTACAGAATCAAGCAACAATGAGAGACATAGAAGCAAGAATAGAAAAGATGATTGGTACCCTGAGGTGGCATGAATAAAATGAATTAATTTCCCCACAGCCTTCTTATGACGAAATGGCCTGTGCTGAATGTGTGGCATCTGTGAAAAAGTGCCAGCTATTCCATGAACACCCCAGCTCTTTCACTCTTTGTAAAATAAAGCGGCATCTGTATACACACAAGCAGGTGTGCGAGGTATTTATGTCTTCATCTGCTTCAGTATCAAATGAGCACAGACAACCTAAAAGTACATCAATGGAAGCTGGGGTCAATATACAGTGGTACATAAGTGAAATGCTTGACAATATTAAAAAGAGTTGAAAATAATTAAATGTGAAATGCTATTATGGGGGGGCATGATGCATGTCACAGAATCTGCAAGTATTTTTGCTTGTCTAACATGTGTGCAACACACACTTATGTGTACATATAGTGATCTCCTGGCAGATAAAAAAATAGTAATGATTATAACATCACTGTATTATATTTTGTGCAATTATTAATTTTTACCCTGTGTTTATTTTTTAATAATCAATCCCTATTTAAACACAAATACTATATTTCCTCTCCAAGCAAAGAGGAAGAGATTGAGGAAGTAGGGACCATACTAATGCATGCGCTCTTTACAACTATCCTATTTTGCCCACATAATAGAGGTTCTCAGACTGAAGTTTAGGTCTAGAGAGGATTCATAAAAATTGAATGAAAAAAAATTTGAGTAGATCTGCTTATATTCATTTTTCTCAGGAGAGAGTTCATAGTTTTCATCACATTCTCAAAAATATTTAAGAACTAAAAGGTGTTGAGAAATACTGTTCTGCTTAGGCAGACTTTATAGAAAGCTTTTACTAAATTTTGTCAATTCTTTAGATTATATATAATATTACTTGATAAAAGAGCCATGTGACATGTTTGCTTGGCAAGGCAATAAATATTCATCTTTTTTAGTGAATACTGTGGTTTGTAATCTGATCTCATAGTTGTGTGATATGAATTTATACCAGGGATACTATATTCTCTGCTTTTCAAATGAGAAAACATAGATCTCTATGTTACTTTCCAGCTGGCTAGAGATTCCTTGAGGCACAAAACCAATATTAGACACCTTTTGGAAGCATCTGATTTATAAAGAATTGTAAAACCTTATTTTATAATAGAATCAAGTTAGATTGAGAAAATAATATTTAAACTTATTTTTGAGATAACACCTGAGATTAGAAACATTTGTGTTTAAGGAAGAGATACAATTCATGGTTATAGATTCAATGCTCCAGGAATTTGCATTTTCTCAATGCAATATTTTGGCAGAAAGATTTGAAAATGCTTGTCTGACATACATTAAGGCTTTACTCTTCACAATGCATTTGTATTCCTTTATTCTTGCATTCATTTCTTCATTTAACGCTTGAGGAATTAGTAGGTGCTGAGCATAAATATAAGTTCTAGTCCTCTTGGGACCAGCATTATAATACAGATACCTCATTTCTTTAGGATGGCCAGAACAAGCATATTAATGTAAGGCTTGGGTTAAATAACTTACCTCACTGAAATGTTAATTTAAAAACAATCAAGAAAAAGTTTGGTCAATTTTTACTGATTCATAGCTTAATAAAGCATGAGTCCTGCAATTTCTTGTGTGCATTGGACTTCATCTTCTTTTAATTTGTACATTTCTCATTGTCTAAACCCTTATCCATAAGATAAAATCTTCATGATATTTAAAAAGTGAAGCAGGTTCCCAGGCTGGCATGTAAGTAGCTTTAAAAAAATCTCTCCTTACAAGTAAAAAGCTGAACAAAGTGAAGCATCAACACTTTTCAGATCCAGAGGGTAAATCATCACCTCTAAACTAGGGAAACAGGCAAAATTGAAGAATCTCAAGTTAGCACAGTAGAAACCCATATTAGAAAGCTCTGTGGGAGCTTGTGCTGGATGTGAATGCCTGAACTATTTGGATACCACTGAGAGTAAATCAGCTCAGTTATAAAGGTGGGCAACAAGTTATAAAGGTGTCACACATTATCATGAGCTTCTTCAAGCGTTCAGTGAGGTCCTAAGTAAATAACAGAGAAAAATCTCATGCTTCTTGCAAGGGGAGGGGGAAAAGTAACCATACTGAAATAGGCCAGAGTTTCCTATTCCTCTTAACAAGGCCTGTTATCAAGAGAAACTGTTTTACCAGAGCCTAAAGAAAGGAAGAACACTGGAGAATGAATAAGAGAAGGCCAAATAAAAACTTGTTATTATCTTATTCTTAGTTGATATAACAATTTGTTCAAAATTATTGACAATGTATTTTATTAAGTATATGTTTATGAATACTTACTTTGTACAAATAAAATTAATGGGAACAAAGTATAGGGGAAAATTAGGAATATAACACTACTGGTGAAGTGATATAGTGTTATTCAAAAGAGGAATTGGATTAGTTGTAAATGTATACTGAAAACAAGTGCTAAAAGTTTTTAAATGAAAATAAATACACTTGATATGCTAAGAAAATGAAAGCATATATAATAATCAATTAAAATAACAAAGGTAAAAAAGTATAAAGACAAATTTAGAAGAAAAGAACAAGAGCAATAAACAGTAATAAATATGATTAATATTAATCTAACTGTATCATCAAACACTTTAAATATCAATAGTCTAACTATACAAACTACAAAGTAGAGGTTACCACTGTATCAAAACACAGATTCAACTGTATATCATCTATAAGAAACCATGTTTAACTATAAATATCTATGTAGATTAAAATGAAGGAACGGAGAAAGTTATATTATGCCAACATGAATCAAAATTATGCAGCAGACCTACATGAATTTCAGACAGAACTAGCTTCAGAGCAAGGAAAGGTACCAGGAAAAGTGGGAGTATTATATAAGATAAAAAGATCAGGTACCCAAGAAGACAAGAATGCTTATGTGGATTTCCTAACAAAAGAGCATCAAAATATGTGAGGAAAAACAGATAGAACTGCAAGAAGGAATAAGTGAATCAACAATTCTTGTTGGACACTTTATCATCCCTCTATCAGAAAAAGGCATTTCAGCCAGAACATTAGTAAGGATATACTTGAAATTCAACATCATCTTCTATCAATTGACGTATTATTATTGACATATATAGACAGAGACTGCTTCATCCAGCCTCAGCAAATTGCACATTTAACTCAAGCTCATACTAAATTCGTGGAGATACAGCACATGGTGGGCCATAAAGCACACATTATCAAAAGTAAAATAATAGAAATTATCCTACATCTGTTCTTCAACAAGAATGAAATTAAACTAGAAATAACAGGAAAGAGCTGGAAAATCCCCAAATTCTTAGGAGTTAAATGATAAACTCCTAAATAACACAAGTCAAAAAACAAATCCCAAGAAATTTTTAAAAATATTTTTCACCAAACAACAACAAAAACACAACTTGTCACAATTTTCAGGATGCAGTGAAAGCAAGGCTTAGGGGAAAATTTTTATCACTGAATGCATATATTAGAAAAGAAGAGACACCTAAACACAGTAAGCTAAGATTTAGCCTTAAGAATCTTTCAAAGAAGAACATATTTAAATTAAAAGTAATCAGAAGAAAAGAAAAAAATAAAAACCAGAGCAGAAATTATTAGAGAAAATCAAGTAAACCAAAGCTGGTTCTTTGAAAAGATCAATAAAATTGATAAGCTTCTAGTCAAGTCAAGCCAAAACTACTAATATCAGTAACAAAAGAGGTAATAGCATTAAAGGTCTCATAGCTATTAAAATTATAAGAAGAAGTATCATGTCCTCTATGCTAATATATTTGATAAACCTAAATAACAAACCAGCTTCTTAAAAGGCACAATCTGCCAAAACTCAATGTGAAGAAATAGTCTAGATAGGTTGATAACTATTATAGAGATTGGGTCAGTAACCAATAATTTTTCTAAAAAAACCCCAGTAATCTTAATCAATAATCTTTCTAAAAAGAGTGGTATGTATACACAATGGAATATTGCTCAGCAATAAAAGAAAATAAAATCATGGTATTTTCAGGTAAATGGATGGAGCTGGAAAAGATAATGCTAAGTGAAATTAGCCAATCCCCCCCCAAAAAAACCAAATGCTGAATGTTTTCTCTGATATAAGGTGACTGACTCGTAGTAGGGTAGAAAGGGGGAGCATGGGAGGAATAGATGAACCCTAGATAGGGCAGAGGAGTGGGGGGGCAGGGAGGGAGCAGGGGGTTAGCAATGATGGTGGAATGTGAAGGACATCATTATACAAAGTACATGTATGAAGACACAAATTGGCCTGATCATACTTTATATACAACCAGAGATTTGAAAAATTGTGCTCTATATGAGTAAGATGAACTGTAAAGCATTCTGTTGTCATTTATTTTTTAAAAAAATCAATTAAAAATAATTAGGGAGAGAGAGAGAGAGAGAGAGAGAGAGAGAGAGAGAGAGAGAGAGAGAACCTGGCCCAGATGGGTTCCCTGTTAATTCTATTAAATATTTTTAAAAAAATTACACCAATTCATTACAACCTCTTCCAGAAGGTAGAAGCAGAGAGCCCATAGCTAATTTATTCTATGAGGTTAACATTATCCTAATACTAAAACCAAAGACTTAAGAAAAACTACAAGCCAATTTTTCCTCACAAACATAGTGGCAAGAATATTTAACCAAATTTTAGAAAATCAAATACAAACTTCTATTAAAAAAAAAAATCATGGCCCATGGTGAAGTGAGATTTGTTGTAGGTATTTACAAGGCTGGCTGGCCATTCAAAAATGAATCAGTGCCAGCTATCACATCTACATGCTAGATAAGAAAAATGGACTAAGCCTATCAATATGTACAGTGAAAGCATTTGAAAGTCTCCTAGCTATCCATGAAAAGAAAATCTCAGCAAATTAGGAACAGAAAAGAGCTTCCTAAATTTGATAAAGAACATCTACAAAATAACTGTGACTAACAGAATGTTTAATGGTGAGAAAATTTCCTGCTATGATCAATAACACGGCAAGAATGTCCTCTTTCACCAGTGTTTTTATACACCATACTGGGAGATTTAGGTGATGCAATAAGTCAAGAAAGGTACATAAAAGGTGTTCAGATTGGGCAAGAAAAAAATGAAATAGTCTTTGTTCACAGATGACAAGATCATCTATGTAAAAATTCAAAGGATCCACA